TTCTTCTTCTCAAACAGCATCTTCAGCAATGAATAAACTATTACTGTTAAATCTTGCTTGGAAATGTAGTGGAGACTGGCAGCTATTTGTAATTAGCATATTTGGAATATACATAATTGTATTATGGCTGAAAACTTGATACACCTTCTGTGTTTTCCTCGTCTAAGAGGAAAAATAAAGACTGAATAAAGCCAAACTGGTCTTGTTTTAAATGCTATTTTTCTACAGAAGTAACATCTTCTGTTACAGTTAACGAGCACTGTTGTCTTTTGTTTAAATTCTTTGTTACAGAAGCTTAGAGCAAGAGGGCTTTAATAATAAAAAGGCCTTCTTCTCTGAAATGTCTGCCTGATAATAGCCTGTAAGATTTAAGAAGAATACTGTAAAATAATTGCTTTTCAAATGAATAATTTTGTGTAACTAATTGGAGGGCAAATGGAAAATCTGCATCGACCAGACAAATGTAGTGTGTCTCTTTAAATATACAAACAATTTTTTGTTCTACTTTTCCATCCTCAAGACAAAAATAATATCAAACCTTGTTCAGGTTGTATTTAAATATGACCAAACTGATAATTCCATTATTATAGAGAAGGGCAGGATAGCTGGAGGATATATACAAGGTGCATTAGTACCACAAATAGAAGCTGATTTACTTATTGATAGTAGAGACACGTTTTAGTCACTTTATAGAATTAACAATTGATCAGCTTGTTAGGTTCTAGTTCTTCATAAGCACAGCATGTTTATTCATTATTGTCATTACATGGTGCAAGCAGCTGAGGTCATGATTAGTAAGGCAAAACCCCCAAATATTTAAACTTGCTTAAATATAACTTTTGCCACAGGCAGTTTTTGAGCAATGCACTGATTCTCACTTTTCTGAAATAAATATGACTTATACCTGCCTGGTTAATCTGCATGTCATTTGCATTTTTCAGAACCATCAGATCTATTTGTTTTGCAAATGCCAGTGCTTCAGGCTTGTAAAAGTGTAATAAGATGGGCAACATAAAAGCATTAGTTTCAAATTGCCTTGGTCACTGTAAATATATATCGATATATAGTATTGCAGCTGATAAACTAAACATGCTGCTGGAGGAGAATGGAAAGATGTTATTCCAATAAATATATTCATGATTGTTTGTTTCTAAGTGTAAGTTATATTTTCTAAATCAGCATTGACTTAAGCTTGAGCAAACTCGATGGCAAAAATTCCCACAGAGGCTTCTCCTGCTACATATGACTAATATATTAAAGAAGATAAATAGTCATTTTTAAAATTTATTGCACAGTAGGACTGAACACAAGAGGAAACCATTTTACAAATCTGAAAGTTAAGGTCACCCTGAGAAGAAAAGGACATTTAAGATGACTAGAAAAAGTCTGCTTCCTCAAGAAATTGAGATTCAAAGTTTACTCTTTTCACGGTGTCTTTTATAAAGCTTTAGAATCCCAAGTGTAAAACCAGAGTCTGTTTTGATGTGCAAATATTTCAAAACTGTGCAGTGGATAGGCATTGAGACACTCGCATCTAACCAGTGCTACAAATCAGCTTCCAGTTTCTTAGTTCATTATGGACTATGAAGCCTTTTGATAGTGTTTTTTATAATATAATTCAGTATTAGGGATGAACTCTCTTAAACATTTCATTGAACTTTTCTAATAGTTTTTAATAATTTTATCCCTTTTCCTTTCCTATTTATAAGCTTTAAAAAAAAATCTATTATGTATATTTTAGTCATACTGAACACCATTAAGAATTTAGTCCCAGACTTCTAGGAGTATGAAAATGTGCTCAATAGCATTTTCTTAGGGTTTGTTAATAAAGTTAATGAATTATTTTTCTATTAGGCTGTCTTATCTTAGCTAATACTGCTTGGTTGTTTGAGCTGTAGCAAATCAGGACAACATTGATTTTCTTTAAGAGATGAATAATGAAGGATCTACATTCTTAAATATGTAGATAAAGATAAGTGACTTAATTAAAAAATTATCAGTGGAAGGTAGTAAGATGAATTAGCTGTTTTAATTTGTTGTATATGTCAATATGCTGTAACATAACTTGAAGTATTACATAAAATCCATTTATGCTATCCTTTTTAAAAAAAAAAAAAAAAAGATTCAGTGTGATTTCATAGTGCCTTCAGGTGCTTATTCTTTTGAAAATTGTTCATGTATTTGGAATGTGAAATTCTTGGAACAATCTGCCCCAACTTCAGCTTATGTAGGCCTTGAGTCTGCAGGTGTTTAATGTCCAGTGCAATGCAGCCTGATGAAAATAGTCACACTCTGATCTATAGTAATGTTTATGGGCTTTGTCTTCAGTGGAAGTCAGGTTACGAGCCTGATTGTTTTTCCAGTGACTGGCAAATTCTGCTCTTTGATCACATGTGCTGTGAATATCAGAGCTGGCAAAATTCCAGGCTAAATTGCTTGCTATTTTCTGACTAGCTTTACAAATTATACATGATGAAAAAGGGACATCTCGGGGCCTCTGTCTTTCATCCAGTGTTGCTTTTGATATCATGTAGATCTCGTCAGGTTACACAGTATAGAGGAGGAGTTGTTAGGAGGAGTTGCTCTATTAAGACATGGTAGTTGATCTTATTAAAGGAGGAGGAGATAAACAGCCTTCTCTTGGAAGGGCTGCTCTGTGTCGCCGACTCTTTTGGCTTTTTTTTGGCCTCACGTAATAGAGCAAGCACCCACACAAGTTTCACTGGGGGATTCCCCGGTGGGAATAATCAATACTGTGCCTTGAATAAGACTTTCATGATACTCCTGCTTAAATTTTAAGTGACTCCCAAGTCATGCTGGTTTTCAAGCTTGAAGATCCTGTTTTTCAGAATATATTTTCTTAAGTCTCAGTGCAGCTACAAATACAGCATTTGACAAGCATACCTGAGCTTCTGCTTCAGGCCCGTGGGTCACTGCCTTTCTGTTGCAAATGCGTTGTCCAATGGTTGTTCTGAAGGTGAGTTATTCCTACCTTTTCCAGACATCTCTGTTAGCTTTCTAGGGTAAGACAACAGCTGATTCACAAAGATTCTCAGACTTTGCCGTCTCCTGATGCTAGACTTGTGGCTATCCTGTTTGAAGTAATTCAGCTGGGTAATGAGAAAGAGGACTATGTTGTAGGTAGGCCATACTTAAAACAGGAAGGGATTGGAGAGAGACTTTATAAAATCTCTTGGTAGGGTATTGGTTGGTAGGTAGGATGTGAGCTGAGAAGTCTGTTAGGATGTCTCTGTAGAGCTTCCATGGGATGGTTTGACAATACAGTGTGTGACTCGGGCAGACAAATTTTACTCTTTGAGACTCTACCCAACAATGCCCTGCCAAACTGTGAAGCATTGAGGATAGACCTGTGCTACAGGCTTTACTTTGTCTTGTTTTATTCATTTTCTCTTACTTCAGCTTTTGATTAAATGTAATACTTGTGTCAATGAAATGAGTAGCAAACACCTGCCACGTTATGGATTTTGTTATGTTAGGGGTAACAAATGGGAGCCAGTGTTTCTTGTTCAGAAGACTGCCAGAATCAAAGATGTAAATAAAAGCCGAGGAAAATTAATTGCAAACCTGTCAAATCTGGTCTGTCTTCATTTTTATTACATGGTGCTCATCAGATCTTTCTTAGAAATGTTTTAAAAAAGAGAATATCCTGCTTCTTGTGTGAATTCAGCTAAAATTTACCCAGTCACAGCAGAGCTACTGTTACTGGTCCTCTGCACCAGGGGAGCAACCTCTGGATTTTTGTTTTCACTCTGAAACATTTTTCCTCAACACTGAACAGTGCACAGACAGGATATGGCTGTGGTTTTGTGCTTCAGGACATAAGTCTCAGGAGACCAAGTGGACCAGAGGTCTCTGGTGGATGAAGAATCCCAGGGGTGCTGGACAACCTACAGCTGTGTCTAGACTGTTGCAGTGGAGCGTAAGCCAGGCTTGAGCACCATATTCAGACAGCTCTGTTAATTTAGCATAGATCCAAGCACAGAGAAACAATGGCAATGCTAAACTCCAGCCTGCTAGCTCCTCAGTGCAACACTCATGCTTCTAGCCTGAATGCTGACAAATAACATACAAGTCTTGGCTCTTCGTGTGACAGCCAGTCTGCTCTTGATCTCTCCCTGCACTTCTGGGTGTGTGCTGGAGGACGATGCACTGTCATTGAGTGATCTGTTTGACCCTAAATCCTCCTGAGTGGAGAACAGGAAGCTTCAGAAAGTAATACTTTCCAGTTAGGATGACTATCATAGGAATATTCCATTATTAAATTAGAAATTTTTTATGTTCTTGGAGACCAGATGTTGAGACCTTCAGGTTAAAAAGGGAATAGATTATTTATGTAATACTGCTATTCTCAGGTAATAAGTTGGATGGTGCTATTGCAAGCAGAGAAATAATTAGAAATTCTTGTACATCTGAGCAGTCAAATTAAAAAGGAACAAAATCGTGGTTTAAGAAACCAACTGTCTTTGGCTGGAGTGCAAAAATAATTTAAAATGATAAATCATACCCTCCACTGGCCATTTGTTCTGTTTTATGCAGTAGTGTCAGTATACCAAGCAAGTTATACTGTCTTTCTGACATGCAGATGCTACAAAACACTTCATACTCTCAAATACCTCCTCAGGATCATACAACCTGAATGCAGCTAAACAGATAAATACCCAAGTATTCATTCTATTTGCTTAAAGCCATCATCTTAGAAAAAAGAAAAAGGACCAGGAGGGTAAAATAAGGATGACTGCACCCTCTCAAAAACGTCCTTTGGGTGCTCACCAAACAGTACCTGTGAGCAGAGGAAGGAATTTTGATCACTGTCTGTAAATTTTAGGGCAGGATAGAGGTGGACAGGACTTCACCCCTGGTTGAAAAATAAAATATTAGACTCAACTGACAGTAGATAGCTGTGTGAAAACAAATGGGGTTTGTCTGAAACAGTACAAGGCACAGCTCTGAATTAAAAGTCTGTAGCTTTTTGAATGCAGTGGTACCCTCTGGTGAGTGAAGGTTTGGTTACTTGCACCCCTTCTTGCTAATCTTTGCCAAAACATTTGTCATCTGCAAGGAAGGGGTTTCACTTGGATAGGGGAAAATATAAATCCAGTAAGTGATTTTTCTACCTCTCTCTCTTTTTTTTTTTTTTTTTTTTTTTTAAATTAGTGTTGTTTTGTATTTAATTAGTGACAAATATTAAAGTAGAAGGCCTAACAAATTTCTGGTATGGTCTGTGAGATGTAGCACATTTTTAATAACAGCAGTTTTTAATCTAAAACAGTCCTGTGACTGTCTTTGTTAATGGCCTTTTCTCAGTTTGTGTGGCTCTCCTACCTATTGCCAGGCTATGGAAATGCTTTGTGCAAAACCCCTAGAATTTGAATCAATGATGCAATCACTCCATACACCTCTTTGAAAATGTATCTCACAGTGCAGGAAACTCAGATGGGAACAGTTAAAGTGAGAGAGTTTCACTTTTGTGTTCCAGTTCATCAATCTTTAAAGAGACACTAGTAGGTCAAATGGGTCTAACACTGATCGATTTACAAGAAAAATCTTTTTTTTTAAGTGAATCACAATTCATCTCCAATAGGCAACTGAAAAAATAATAATAAAAAACCCCCCATGGCCACTGGGGTCCTGGTGGGGGGGTACTTAATTAGCTCAACTCCTCACACACTCTTTAGTTAATCATTCATTAGAATCCATAATCCAGTCGGATCTGGTTTTTATAGTCCATTACATTTTTGTTCAGTTATCTGTTACTGGATCTGAATACTTGTATTTAACTAATGCCTACCATCAAGAAGGACATCCCTTCTTGGCTTTGAGGACAGGGTCCCTGCAAAGTGATAACAGCAAAGCAAATCTGTCCTACAGGCTTTGTACTTTGTTGCTTGTTACTTAATTGTGCCTTAGGAGCACACATAGGCCATTGCCTGGTCAGCACCCCAAAAGCAAGTATCTGCTGATTAGCATTTCAACAACAGCACAACAGCAGTTGTCTCAGGATCTAGCAAAGTGCTCATGATTGATTTTGTTTTCCTGTAAGCATGACTTCGTTTGAGTTACAACCAGCCTACTGGTAAAGGTGTGTGTGGTAATAGGGTGGAAGGAAATGAGGCATATTGAGAGTGTATTTTCATGGGATTATTGTTGAGGAGAACTTCTGGGAAGTTGTGTATGAGGTGGAGGGTCTCTAGCTGCCTATCTGAAATCACAGAAAGGTAGTACCTGCTGAAATATTTAATAGCGACTGCTAATTCTGATATGATTGAAATTTGGAGGTTGCTCTCTTTATTATAGTTAAGTTTGAGTACTGTTTCTCCCAGGACAGTATTCACAGTTCATTTACTCTAAAATGTAAAAAGTATGTATTGTGGGGATCTAAAAGACAAGATTCTGTGAATAGTCAAAGATCAGAGAAATGGAAGACTCCTGCAATCTGTTTCCTTTAAAAATTAAAAAAAAAAAAAGTTCAGCAGAAATAAGTCCACCCAAGGTAGCTGAAAATATTGGTTCTTATTCAGATGCCAATATCCATAACATTATACAAGCTCAGGAAGCACAATCCACAGAAAAAGAAATGGTGGTTATTTTCTTTAGCTCTTCTATTGTGCACCTGAGTACAGACAAATTATATCTGGGGTTGGTCAGGGGAAACAACTGCCAGTATGGGGCTAAACCTGGAGACTCTCATAAAAGGGCAGTGCTCTGGGAAACAGAAGGTGGGGAAAATCTTCAGAGAGAGACTTGGAAGGCGGAGAGCAGGGCTGTGACAAGGTGTACGAGTCAATCAGCACTCAGCTTAGTGGGTGACTATCTGTGGCAGGCTTTGTGGAAAAATATCAAATATGTCTATTTTTCATGTTTTGTTTCCTTGCTTCTCTGGCAAACAGTATCTCATTGTTATACGAGTGAACAAAATGTTCCACCCATTCAATTTTTTTGCTGTGAATCTTGAGACTTCTTTTCATAAAGTCCCACTTTCCTGGATAAAAATAATTGGAGAAGATTTTTCTTTTTTTTTTTTTTTTCCCTAATTATTTTTAAGTGAGTTAATAGCTCTCTAGTGGTGAGGAAAAGCTGATTAAAAGCTGATTCTTGTCTACCCTGAAAATAAACAAACAATAAACGATTTGTTACTTTCAACAGATCTCGCATCTTTAAGGCAATCGTAATTGCTTTCAAGTGAAGCAGAGTAAGTTGGGGGATCTCATACTTCATTTCCAACCCTGAGCATTTCAAAGCATAATCAAATTTATGCCACTTACTCTCCCCCCAGCTCCTCCCATCAATCACGCACTGGTTTTGTGATCATGAAGTGTCTTGTGCATGAATGAAGGGGCAATAGAAAAAAATCCCTCCTAGACAGATTGGTAACTGAAAGCCTAAAGTTCAGGCTTCTCTGAGCTTTGTGAAAAAGTTTTATTTATTTATTTATTTTTTAATAAAGAAGAAAGTTTTTAGCTTTAGCCATGAAGAAGACTTGCTGTTACTCATTCAAAGTCTGGCTGTGGTCTTACTTCAGTCAGAGTAACTGATTGAGCCTCCTGTATGGAAACACGTCACTATAGCTATAACATACGGCGAGGAGGACCCTCTGACATTTTAGGTACTTGAGGGGGCAATACCATCTCTTACAGTTTCTGAAGAGCAGTAAGCAGCTTGCTGTGGCTGCTGCTGTTCTGTCTTGGTAGTGCAGTGACAGGAAGGTGCTCAGGACTATTCTCCTTTCCAATCCCTCAGCATCCTTTGCGTTTTGCCCCTTTTTTTTTGCAACAGAAGCCAGAGCTCAACCTGACTTCCTCATGCCTGTGGATGAAAACAGCAGTCAGCAGATGATTAACCTGCTCTAAACAGGGAGACCTTTTTTCACCAGGTGGGGTCTCTTTCCCTGCCTGACAGCCATTCTCTTGATGCTCACACACATGCTGCTGCCAAGCAGCAGAACTTCCCAGAGGAGGCAGGGAGAAATGCTGTGCAAACAAGAAGCAGAGAGGGCTGAGAAGGGACAGGGAAGGAGGCCTGAAGGACTGGGCTGGAAGAGGAAAGGATGAAGGAAATCTCTTCTGGAAGTGAAGAGGCAAAATGTAATTTATGCAATTTCTGAAATTCTCTTGTATCAGGGCATGAAGTAACTGGTACTGCTGGAAATGAAAATACCTGAAAGAGGGTGTTGTCTCATGTATTCATATTGGAATTTGGAATTTTTTCTGGTTACAAGGAGAAAGACAAGGGCTTGCAGGAGAGAGGTAGAGTCAGTGGTCAGTGTCCTGCTAGGGCGACTAAATTAGCTAGGGCATGCTGCTTATGCATCATGAATGATACATCTTCTTGAGATCTGTCCACTTTTTAAATTTGCTTTTTCTTCTGGCAATGTAATATTGATTCCAGGGACATGGGACTAATGGCTCAGGAGATAATTAACAGATATATCTATCTGCTCATTTTTCTTCTCGACTCAGTAGTAGGCTGCTGTCAGGGATTGGAAAACCTTATATGACTTCAGGTACCTGAAGAGCAATAGAGTACAGCTACAGCCTCACCCAGGTCTCTCAAACTCAATGAGAGCTAAACCCAACCGTGCTATGCCTATTCTGTGGTTGTGGTGGTTCAGTTAGCTCCAAACAAGCAGATAATTCTCCATGGTAGAATGTTGAGCAGAGATCAGAGTTCAGGACTCAAGACCAGTGCTGTTGGTGCTGGAATAAGAATTAAGTTATCCCTAGCTCAGGTGGTGCTGTGTACAGTGCAGGTACACTCTGTGTGATGGTCAGTACTTCCATCTGGCATGACGTTGTCAAGCCATAGAAAAGTAAATACAGTTTTGAGACTGGTTCTGAATATGCTTTTGTTCATTTAACTAGGATTAAGACTGAACAATATTGGGTTCTCCTTTAAAGTGCAATTGTTTATTGACCCAACTCCAAGTCTTCATGCCATACAAATGCCTTGCTAGTTTATTAGCGGTATTTTGCCTCTGTCATTCAATTACAGAAAATGAGGAAGGATACTACACTTTTTTCTTTTCATAACAGCTCCTGAATTGATGGGTCAGGAACCTGGTTCTGGAATTTTCCTATTCAGTAGAACAGTGATTTTTTTAAAAATAACTTGAGGAGCAGGCTCTGATAAGCAAATAATGTTTTCTAACACTGGGTAAAAAGCTTGTCCCATAGCATTAAAGTTAAGTGATGAAGCAACATCAGGAAGCTGGGCTACAGCTCTTTGGTCTGTGCCTTGCCCCTCCTGTGCAAGTTTTGTTCTTCATTATTGCCACAAGAAATTCTATATACTAGGGGCAGAATTTCCAACCAATCCTAAAATGACTGTGTTATCTTTGTACAAAAATGGAAATATCAAAAATGTTGCCTTTCCATTTGCTAGTAGTTATCCTAGATACTACCCCGAGACTGACAGAGACAACAGCGATAGCACATTACAAGATATTTTGTTATTGGCTTATCTAGTTGATAACACAGGTGCTAAAAATGTGCGTTCAGCCCATAATTACAGTTCTGGAAATTTAGTGCTGTATTTATGAAATGCTTTTCCTTAGAATCTTTAAACAATTAGCTAATGAGTCCCAAGTGGAACAATTATCCCATATACTCAAGACAGTTGGGATTCTTCATCAGCCAATGTGCATCCACTGCTCATAAAGCATGTTTGTATTCTAAAAGCAAAACTAGCTATTCTGTGCTTTCCTCTTGGATTGTTTCATGAAGTGAAACAAAAGCAGAGACTAGATTACATTGGTGACTCAGAAATGGACAGACCCTGTTGAAGCCAGAGCCTAATACAGCTTAGAGAAGTATGAGTCAACATGCCGTAACTATTTACTGTGAATGGGGAGTAACATGAGAATGTAGTATTCTAATGCAGTAAAATCAGAAAGAACCAATTTTGTTGCATAAGGACCCTGACAACCACAGGAAAGATATCTAAATGTAACACAAGCTGACCCTGTCTGCATGAAAAAAAAAATCAATATGAGTAGGAGGTATTTTCAGTTTCTTTCTACCACAATTTTCCTCCACTAACCTCTGACTTGACAACGGTCTGTGGTCAGGATACTGAGGATGACACTGTGAACAGTGACTATT